ATGGTCTTAGGCGACCCCTGTGAAAGGGTCATTCGACCCCCAAAGGGGTCGCGACCCACAGGTTGAGAACCACTGCCTTAAGTGGACTTAAAAGGAGCCTTGTGCCTTGTGACTCTCTCTCTGGTCCTCTACTGACCAGCTAGAAGGCACCCACCTAAGAGACCTCTGAATATTTCTCACCCCCCAGCAACCAGCCACACCTTATGCAGAATTGTTCCATCCCTTTCACCACTAAACCCTTGACTAAATCCTTCCTCTCTCCCCCTTGCCTGACGCTCTCCCTTTCTCCCTGTCTCTTCTCCTCTTTCCAAATTGCTGATCTTCCTCCTGCCCCTTCTCTTTCTTTCCCTCCTTTCCTCCCTTCAAAAGGCAATAAATAGCCTTGTTCTTTCCTCCCTAAATTGAAGGTCAGTATTCAATCACTGTCAGCAAATACATTTCCACTGTATTTATCCCTATGCAGTAAAGATTTATCAGGGTCTCTCACCCTGCACTGTTATGTAAATGTGGTAATCCAGTGAAAATATGATATCTGGGGAGTTTGAGGATAAAGTCACCATAAAAACTATCAATTACACACTGGGGCTTGTGTTGGTTAACTCACTCACTGCCTTGTCTGCCTATTATTTTTCCCCTCTTGGGGGAAAACCTGACAGGTAGTGACAGCTTACGAAAGATGCTTTCTGCTTCTTTGGGTCCTCAGAGGTCAGCTGGAGGATCAAATGCTTGTAAAGTGTCTGAGAAATTATAAAATGTTGCATAAGCTTTAGGATTGCAGGTGCACAAGTATTATTGTTTCTATTGTCTTGTGGGCCATTTCTGTCCCTCTTCAGTGTGACAGATGTCTGCTCTGTCTGCAGACCTACGCTAACCTCATGCTTGGATGCCTGTGCCTTTTTCAGCTGGCCTATACCTCTCTAAGCAATGTTTCTTCTTTTCCCTCTTTCTAGGTAGCTCCTGGGCACCCCAGAATCACACTAATATTTGTTTGCTCTAGAAGTTTAATACAAAGATAAGATTTTGAGGAGGATAAGAATCCTCTGAGTAGCCCTCCACATTCCCGCCCCTCAGGAATGGAGAATGGGGCAATTCACAGCTATGGGGAACAGGAGGGAGACTCTGGTCAAAGCCCTTAGCTCCAGCCCGACCTCAGGGGCCTCAGGATTTCATGTGTTGCTCTAGATACTCAAGAGGCTATGCTCAAAGATGCCTACACTGTCCTTTGTTCCAAAAACAGGCAGAAGAGCCTGGTGGTTAAGAGTCCAATATCTGGGTCCTGGGTTTGAGCCCCAATCTGCTACTTTCCAAATGATTTCCCCTCACTTTTTTACTTGTAAAATGGCAGTGATAACAGTATCTGCCTCACAGAGTTGTTGAGAGAATAAATGAGACAAAGCTTGTGAAGCACTTAGCATGTAGTAAAATAATTTTGTTGTGGTTTTAAGTGTTGCTCAGAAAGCTTTCTACATCATGAGCCCTGCCCCTCAAAGGTCTGGCCATGGGGATATAGACCTTTCCTAGCCACTTTCCGCAGGAAAGGGCTCCTAGGTCTGGGTTGTGCCTGCTTACCTTGGGATCAGTCTGTTTCAACTCAGCAGGCCCTGGGGGCTGGAGTTAAGAGACCAGAGGAGGCAATGGCAAGGCAAGAAGGGTTTTGTGGGAGGTGGGTGTCTCTTACGTAGAAATGTCAAGAGTCAGAGCGGGAAGTATGGGAGGTGGCGGGGGTGGAGGGAGGAGAGAAGAAGATAGGATGTCTCTAAATTGCCAGAATCTGGATGGGGCTGCAGCTCTAGGGCCCTGGCACTTCCTGCCACCCCCAGTCTTGAGGATGAGTCACTAGAGGGAGGAGTGATGGAGGTGTCGTGCTCTGCCCACAGATGAGGGCTGGTGGGAGGGAGAAGGAGATGCAGAGGCTTAGGGGCAGAAAGGAGCTAGGAACAAGGGGAGACAGGTAGCACGCCTATGGCTCTGCTCACCTATTGCCAGGCCAGGGAGACAGGCCCCATCCCCCACCTCTTGTGCCAGCTTCACTGCCCTTCCTGGGGAAGAGTCATCAATCCACAGTTACTCTTGACTTCTACCAGTTTGTGCTACGTTGGCTCTATCCAGTTTTCTCCACAAGGGGGTGCTTCACATCCTTTTGGTCACCCACAATGGGGTAGGGGACAAGGGACCACTTGTCCCTTTTCCACCTGGCCAATTCTTAAAGTCTACTCCCCTTTAAAAACCTTTTCCTGTTTACATGACTCTATTGCAGTGTTTTTTTCTTTTTCCTTTTTTTTCCCCAGGGATGTCTGATCCCTTAGCCTTCCAGCTTCTCAAAGCCAGGGACTTCTTTATGTCCTTAGAGCCCAGCCAAAGGTTAGGCATAAATGTATGGATGTGGCCTTGGCCCACAAATACTGTTTCCTTTTCTTCTCTTCTCTGTTCCCTGACTCCTTTTCAAGTTTTCATTTAGTGAGCACCTACCTTGTGCCAGATATCTTCACATGATAATTTACTTAATCCTCAATGATGACCTAATGCACATTTTACAGATGAGAAAAATGAGCTCAGTGAAGTGAAGTAACTTGTCCCAGATCAGAGTCAGCAGGTGCTAGAAGTGAGGTTTGCCAGCAAAGCCCTCAGAGTTCGTTTTAAGAATCTTTTTATTATTTTTTTAAAATATGATAATCAGACTTCTTAGTTGTAACAATTACATACATAATTTTTAGTTAATTTTTGAGTTGCCCATTGCTTTTCTTCACACATATGTATGTGTATATATATATATTATCTTTATTGAAATATAATTTACATATTGTACAATTCATTTAAAGTGCACACAGTTCAATGGTTTTTAGTATATTACAGAGTTTCCAGTCACCACCACAATCAATCCTAGAACATTTTCATCATTCAGAAAGAAACCCCATACCCATTTGGAGTTATTTTCTATTTCCCCCTTAGCTCTAACCAACTACTAATCTACTTTGTGTTTCTATAGATTTGCCTATTTTGGACATTTTGTATAAATGGAATCACACGTTACGTAGTCTTTTATAACTGGCTCCTTTCACTTAGCATAATGTTCTCAAGGTTCATCTGTGTTGTAGCATTTATCAGTATTTCATTTCTTTTCATTGCCAAATACTATTCCATTAATATTAATGAATTGGAATAATAATCTTCCATTGAATGGATATTATAGAGATAGACATGCCATACAATACCATGTTGTATTTATCCATTTATCAGTTGAAGTGAGTTTGGATTGCTTCCACTTCATGGCTGTTATAAATGTTACTATGAACATTCATGTACAAATTTTTGTGCAAACACATGTTTTTAATTCCCTTGGGTATATAATTAGGAGTGGAATTGCTGGGCCATATGGTAACTCTATGTTCAACCTTTGAGGAAATGCCAGGCTGTTTTCCAAAGCAGCTGCACCATTTTACAATCCTACCAGCAGTATATGAGGGTTCCTATTTCTCCACATTCTGTCCAACATTTGTTATTATCTATCTTTTATATTATAGCTTTCCTAGTGGTATGAAGTAGTATCTCATTGTGGTTTAAATTTTCATTTCTCTGATGACTAATGATGTTGAATATCTTTTTATGTGCTTATTGTCCATTTGCATATCTTCCTTAGTGAAATATCTATGCAGGTCCTTTCCCATTTTTAAATTGGGTTATTCATTTATTTTTTTATCATTGAGTTGCAAGTGTTCTTTAAATAGCCTCAATTCAAGTCACTTATCAGATATATAACTCAAATATTCTCTCCCATTCTGTGGGTTGTCTTTTCACTTTCTTTTCTTTTCACTTTCTTGATGGTATCTTTTGAAGTACAAACATTTTTAATTTTGATGAAGTCCAACTTAGCTTTTTTTCTGTAGCTTGTGGTTTTGTTGTCATATCTAAGAGGACTTTGCATAACTCCAAATCATGAAGATTTACTCTCATATTTTCTTCTGAGAGCTTTATAATTTTAGCTCTTACATTTAAGAGTATGATTCATTTGGAGTTCTTATGTATGGTATGAGGAAGGGGCCCAAGTTCATTCTTTTGTATGTGGATATCCTGTTTTCCCAGCATTATTTGTTGAAAATACTATTCTTTCACCATTGAATTATCTTGATAACTTTGTTGAAAATCAACTGACTATAGTAAATGTAGTGTTTTCTCTGGAGTCTCAAGTCTATTCCATTGATTTTCATGTCTATCCTTATGCCAACAGCACACTGTCTTGTTTATTATAGATTTGTAGTAAGTTTTGAAATCAGAAATGGTGAGTATTCCAAATTTGCTCTTCTTTTTTAAGATTGTTGTGCTATTCTGGGTCCTTTGCATTTTCATATGATTTTTTTTTTTTTAGGATCTGATTGTCAATTTCTGCAAAGAAGCCAGCTGGAATTTTGATAGAGATTGTATTGAATCTGCAGATCCATTTCGAGGAGAAAGCACTTGCTTTTAACCAGGGCATCATACCATTTATCAATCCCAATGGGTAAGGACACAGGAGGAGCATACTGGGGCAGATGGTGGGGGGAGAGAGAGAGAGAGAGAGAGAGAGAGAGAGAGAGAGAGAGAGAGAAAGGAGGAGGTGGAGGAGAGGAAGGAGAATAAAGGAAGAGACGTGGTCATCCATATGGAACAAGCAGAAATGAATCCAGATATGGGGAGGTCCTAGGTCAATCAAGAGGCAGAATCTTGGGAACACTAAATTCTTCCTTATCAGATACATCTTCCATCAACGCAATTTCAGTCTATATGTTGGTAAGTGGTATGGATTCTTCCTTCCCAAGATCATTTCTTCCTTGCCCCTAGGTTCTCTTCCAAATACCTGGAGGTTATGAGAATGCCTTATATGCTTTGATTTATGGGATTTAATGAAAACTCCCAGTTGAAAAGCCCCGTGTCTCAACAATGGAAAGGAATGAATCTCATCCCTACTCATCTTTCTGCAGTAGGAATTTATAGCCTTTTTTGGGTGAGTAGCAGGGAAGTTGGCCTGTCCTGGGGCCTCTGTTCTGGGGAGACTGGCATATGGAGGGTGTGTATGGGTCTCCTTGTGTGCCCTGGGGTGTGCAGGGTGGGAAATGGGGTACAACTCTCTTACAGCCTCATGATCTGGTGAACTCAGTTGAGCCCAAAGTGTCTTGCTACAATCTGTACCTTCTGTACCTCACCCAGACCATCTTTCTTGCTAAGAGATGGTGGGGGAGTGAAGATATGGGAGGTGGAAGTATAGGCTGGAGGAGAAATGAGCTTAACTCCCTCCTACTGTATGGGAAAGGCATGATTGAAATTGCCCATTTAGCAAACGATTTAAACTGCTGTAGAAAATCCTATTAAATGACAATTCTTATCTCAGTTCCAGGCTCCCGGGAAGAGCGGCTCTGGGCTTTGTGAAGACCAGGGCACAGTCTTTTCTGAATCTGGTCAAACAATCATCACCAATAGAAAGCTAAAAGCCAGAGGCAGGGAAACTTCACCAGGTTTCCCTGCCTCTTCCCACCCCTTCACCTTAGTCCCTCAGATCATTCGTCAATTATCTGGTTAGTTGAGCCTTTTCTCTGCCATTGTAATATAAATAGCAAGCATTTTATGGGTCCCCATTAAGCAATGTGATCAGCATCAATTACCTAATGAGACTCTGGAAAGTCGTGATTTAAAATCCTGTCCTTAATTGTGACTCCGCTTTGTCTAAAGCCAATGTGATAATTGCAGTGACATCCAAACTAATGATACTCCAGGTGTGGGGCCTCTGCTCCCAGCCTGGGTTTGACCCTGGGGAAAATTCATCCTCTGCCCAGGGGACCGATCTCTGTACTTTGTTCTAAAAGGGAAAGTTTTATATGTTCTACTAGACCTCAGCGGGCGATGGGTAGGCCTGCCCAGTTCTGCCCTGTAGCCTCCAGGACCTCTGGGCATAGAAGAAAGAGGCTGAGACTAGAAGTACAGGGACACAGGGGACTATTAGCTCCCCAGGTGAGGGAATTTTGTCTGTTTTGTTCCCTGCTATTTCCATAGAGCCTTAGACTACCTGACACATACCGTACTTCCCCATGTATAAGGCTCACCCTTTTTCGAAAAATTTGGGGTCTAAAAACTGGGTGCGTCTTATACAGTGCTTGTAGATTTTTTTACTTGCATTTCCTGCTTTTTCGCGCTTGTTGTCTTTGCACTCATTGTTTCGCACTTGTTACCGGTATATTATGGTAGGTTATGTTTTGCCATGTTCTGGCCAGAAGTGGCTCAGAAAAGATTTTCGTACAGTGCTGAATTCAAGTTAAAAGTGATCCAGTTTGCAAAAATGAGTGGAAATCATGCTGCTGAACGTAAGTTTGGTCCTCCTCCAACTGAGAAAACAATCCAAGACTGGCTACGGGAAGAAGAAACCCTACTGAAAACGCCAAGGCAGAAGAAGGCCATGAGAGGCAAGTCAGCAAAATGGCCATATTTAGAGAGGGAATTGAAGATATGGATTGAAGAGCAAAGGGAAATTGGAATTCCTGTGTCCACAAAGATGGTTCAGCATGAGGCAAGAAGAATTGCTGATGAAAAAGAAGTTAATAAAACTTGAGTTCAATAACTTTATGTAATACATTTTTTTTCAAATTTCGGGCCCTTATAAGGTGTGTTTTATACATGGGGGAATACGGTAAATACTTGATGTATGAAGGAGTAGAATCCTGGGATGGTCCCTTCAGCCAGCAAGCCCTTCTCTTTGCAAGTTTAAGTGTAGTTTCCTGGAAGATAAGGAGAGATTTTTGTGTTTAGTGATGATCTTTCTTTTTTTTTTTTTAAAGATTTTTTATTGGGGAATTGGGGGAGGGGACCAGCCAACTTGTTCTTCAGTCTTCATTGTGGAGGGAGCTAGTTGCCATCTGGCTTCCTGTTGGCAGCTCGTGTCCTCTAAGCTCAAGGTGCTGTGTTCAGTCTTAGCTGCAGATTGACGTAACCACCATCCCATGTGGGAGTCAAACCAGCAGCTTTGTTGTTAAAAGTGCACACCCTATCCACTGAGCCATCCGGGTGGCAGCTCAGCTCAAGGTGCCAAGTTCAGTCTTAGTTGCGGGTGGGCGTAGCCCACCATCGAACAGGCAATCTTGTTACACCAGCTGAGCCATCTTGCCACCTGTTGGCAGCTCAGCAACAGCTCAGCTCAGGCGCAGCATCACTGGCCCATGTGGGGGTTGAACCGGCGGCCCTGTTGCTCAGAGCTTGCGCTCTTAAGCCAACTCTTTTTTTTTTTTTAAAGATTTTAATGAGGAATTGGGGGAGGGAACAGTGTCAGGGAATTGGGGAAGGTGAAGAGACAAGTTGCTGTCCTTTTGTTCTTCAGTCTACTTGTGGAGGATGTCCCTTCGCTGGCCCATGTTGGTATTGTGATCATTGCGCTCTTCCCAGATGAGGCAGATTGGTCACCGGCCATAGGACGGCTGCTCATGGCAGTTCATGCCGGCTGCTCATGCTGGCTGCCGGCCACTCACGGTAGCTTTAAGGCAGCCCACTGCAGCCCCACTGCAGCCTACTCCATTGCCTCACAGCAGCCCAGCTCCAGGTCGAGCTGTTGTTCGCCATCTTAGCTGTAGAGGGCTCAGCATCACTGGCCCATGTGAGATCCGAAACAGCGGCCCTGCTGCTCAGAGCTTGCGCTCCCAAGCTAACTCTTAACCAACGAGCCACTCAGCCGGCCCTTAAGCCAACTCTTAACCAACTGAGCCATTTGACCAGCCCTAGTGATAATCTTTTTAGCCTGAAGGTTTAGCAATTGCCCCATTTGGCCTGGTGGCCTCAGACACAAGTATTTGATATTGACAATCTGGAGGGTTTCATCTTTATCTCTAAACAACCGCCCCCCTCCTCCCATCCCCTACCACCAGAAAGCCTGGTTAAGGATTGCATCCTGGCTTTTTTCCAGAGCAACACAGGTGGTTCTGTTCTTCTTCCCTCTCAGATAAGAAGAAACTTGAAGACACTTGCCAAATTTATTTGTCAATTTTCTGTCATTCGTCATTTATTCCCAGCAGTATTTCACCTAGTTGATCACATCCTTTCTTTGGAAACACTTTCTTCACTTGGCTCCCTGGGCACCAACACTCTCATGGTTTTCTCCTGTTTCCTGGCAGCTCTTTGCCTTATCTCCATGCCCTCTACATGTTTAAGGCCCCAAGGATCCATCTTTTACTCACATTAATTTCTAAGATTTTCTCCAGCATCAGTTTTAAATATTTTCTATAATGATGGCTTCTAATTTATCTCCCTCTTCTGAGCTTCAGACTCAGACATCTTTTTATTTTGTTCCTCAAATTGTTCCAATTTTGGTTATTGGGAGCTTGTTCAGTTGGCTCCTATGTCCCTTTGATACACCTCCATCATTGGTTTTTATTTGAGCCCTTACTTTCTTCCTGGCACTGCAAGATGCTCCAGGCTCATATTATATATTTCATGCCCCAGCTCTAGAATCAGCCATTTCTCGAAGGAGCTCTGGTTTCTTTTATTACAAAGAAGTTTTACTACCTGAAATTATGTTATTTCTTTGCATTCTATCTGTATCTCCCACTAGAACATTAGGTCCTTAAATGGGACCTTTTCTGTTTGTTCATGCTATTATAGTATGTATTTTATATATATTATAGGTTACATGTAATAATGCTTATTATATATAAACTATCTCCATTAGAATAGTATCTGGTACACAGGAGGATATCAATAAAAGTTTAATGAGTGAATGAATAAATGAATAAGGCCAAGTATTATGCTTTTTATATACATGCAGTTCTTCGTGGTGCTTTGATACTCATAAGAATTTAATCAAAGGACAGATGAATAGATTATTGGATGTATGAGTGCATTGAGAAATGGATGCAAGTTGGTGTTACCATGGTGTACTCTAGTTATTCATGACAGAAACTGGGTGGTAGGCCTCATTCTTGATTCCTTTCATACTTACTTGTCCCACATTCAATCAACCGCTAAGGTCTGCCAATTCAACATCTCAAATATTTCTTTTTTTTTTTTAAGATTTTTATTGGGGAGTTGGGGGGATGGGAACAGTGCTGGGGAATTGGGGGAAGGGAAACAGACAAGTTGCTGTCGTTTTGTTCTTCAGTCTAGTTGTGGAGGACGTTGCTTCACTGGCCCAAGTTGGCACCATCATTGTGCTCTTCCCGGGTGAGGCAGATCAGTCGCCGGTTCTGGACGGCCGCTCACGGCGGCTCTTGGCAGCTCACACCAGTTGCCAGCTGCTCACACTGGCTGCCGGCCACTCGTGATAGCTTACAGCAGCCCACTGCAGCCCACTGCAGCCTACGCCATAGCCGACGACTCATGGCAGCCCAGCTCCAGGTCGAGCTGTTGTTCACCATCTTAGGTGTAGAGGATGCAGTGTCACTGGCCCATGTGGGAACTGAACCGGTGGCCTTGCTGCTCAGAGCTCAGCTCCCAAACCAACTCTTAACCAACTGAGCCACTTGGCCAGCCCCAGAGGGATCATTCTAAAACACAACTATGCCTGTGCCTCTCCTCTGCTTAAACCCTTATTATGAAGTCTAAACTCCTTAACATGATATAAAGCACCTATGATGATGACCCGGACCATGGCTATCTCTCCAGCCTCTCTTCTGTCATTCTCTACCTTGCACTGATTTGTGTGCCTCAGAAATACCAAACTGCTTATAGTTCCCACCAGGGATCGTGCTACTTCCCTGCTAGTTCCCCTGCCTGGAATGCCTTTTCCTCACATCCATAGCTCAGAATTCTTGCCTGTTTTAAGTTGTTAAAAGCATTTAACTTTGAAGTTGTTATGATGTTTATACCAGGTCCAGGACTAGGGTGCAAAATTTAAGGAAAGTTGTGTAAGTAAGTGTGAATACATCCTTAAATTTTGTGCCCTAGGTACCTCGCTTGACTCACCCTAGTCCTGGTCCTAGTCTCTTCTCCTAGATTGGGAGCTTCCTGAAGGCAAGAACTTTCTCTTTTATCCCCATAATCTTTAGCACAGTGACTGGTGCCTAGCTGGTGGCTCAGTTAATGTGGGAGGAAGGCCGTGAGGGAGGGAAGATGGATTAGAGATTCACTGTCTGGGCCTTCAAATCCAGACTCTATCTCTTACTAGCTATGGGAATCTGAACAAGTTCCTCTTTGTTCCTCAGTTTCCTCATCTGTGGAAAAGAAATTATATCTCATTATAGGATTGCTTTTCCATTTTAAGGAAAATTATTCCTTTCATCAAAAATTTAAAATTTATTGACCTAAAATTCTTTATAGTATTCCGTCATGACTTAATTATCTACTATATCTGCAGGTATGTTCCCTTTAAAATTTTTTGGTGTTGTTTATTTATGCCTTCTGTTTTTCTTTCTTTCTTTCTTTCTTTTTTTTTTCCAGCCTAGAAGAAAATTTATGAGAGTTTATCTGAGCCAAACTGATGACAATTGCCAGGAAGCAAAGTCTCAACGGATTGAGAAAATGCTCCCATGCCTTCTCTTTTTCTTGATTGAGCTTATCAAAAAGTTTTCTTGATCCCCTATAGTATCTCTTTTCTAATTCATTAATTTTTGCCTTTGTCTTATGACATCTTCATTCTACTTTCTTTTGGATTAGTCTGTTTATTTATTTATTTAATTATTATTATTTTAAAAATATTTTTATTGGGAAATTGGGGGAATGGGTACAGTGCTGGGGAATTGGGGGAAGGGGAACAGACAAGTTGCTGTCGTTTTGTTCTTCAGTCTAGTTGTGGAGGACGTTGCTTCACTGGCCCAAGTTGGCACCATCATTGTGCTCTTCCCCGGGTGAGGCAGATCAGTCGCCAGCTTCTGGATGGCTGCTCACTGCGGCTGCTATAGGCTGTCGCCGGTGACTCATAGCATTCTAGCTCCAGGTTGAGCTGTTGTTGAGCATCTTAGCTGTGGAGGGCAGTGTCACTGGCCCTCATATGTGGGATCCGAACCGGGGCCCTCTGGCGTCCCAAGCCGGTTCTTAACCATCGCGCCACTCGGCCGGCCCTAGTCTGTTTATTTTTGACTTCTTGAGTTGGATGCTCTTTTTCAGATTTGCTTTTCTTATATAAACATTTAAATCCATATATTTCTCTCTA